CTCCTTGTTATATTTAGCTCCTTGCTTCCATAGAGCTTTCTCTTTAACCTATCAAAAACACAACATTGAATTGCTTGGAATAGAACTACATTCGTTTTTTAACGTATTGTATCCGTCATTTGTAGATTTTCAGAGACGGTTTCTCTCCTTGCTTGCATACCAGTTCAGCAAGTTTACGCCGTCCCTGGCATTGAACATACTACCGCAGCGACAGAAAAACACTTCGCAAGGTTCGTAATGGATTATCGGTTAAACGGACTGACAGTTTATAACGAACGACGTAACAGACAAACAATCCATGCCAGTCAGTTGACGTAGCATGATATTATTTCTTACGCCACATAATAGCAAGAGGACAAGTATTTTAACAATACACATAAACTAATAATATAAGGTTGTATTTAATTATTACATGTATTTAAATTAATGTTCTTTCAAGATAAACGATAGCTTATCAGCTCTTAATTAATGTTAATTGTTATTTAAACACGTAATCCGCACGTAAAACCTCGTCTTTTCGATGAACGCTCAAAATGGCCGAAATAACGATATTTGCAATTAACGCTCGTATCCCTGAGCGAGTTCCCCCTCCCCTCCCTCCGCTGCCGCGGCAGTTGATCTCATAGAGGGTACCATCTCTGCTCTCTCTCTCTCTCTCTTTCTCTCTATTGTGCGCAGAGTTGAGGCGGGCGGACGTGGAGCGCGACTTTGGCGACTACGACCTTCGGCGGCTGGAGACATACGCGCGCAACATGGCCGACCACCACGTGATTACCGACCTGCTTCCGGCCGTCGCGCGCCTGTACTTCCTCGGCCGCCTCGACGTGTCGCTAAGCATTGTGCAGCAGGTAACCGTGGCAACGTGCTCGTGTCCTTCACTAACCTTGGGATTGCTCTTGCTGCTCTACCAGCACCAGCCCTGCCTTTGCTCCCGTCTCCTATAGCGTGAAGATATTCACACTCTTTCCTCCGAGCAGTAGCGATACTAGAATATATAGCAAAGCTACAAATACTAGTTGCAACTTGTAAGCATGCATGCGACCGTATAGATGGAGAACGGGGGAACGAGAGGAGAGATGGTGGATCGCGAGAGATTAGGAGTCGAAGTTCTTTATCTGCATATGACGTTTGTGTTGAGATACCTAGTCGTGTGCACTTCTGCGTTCACTTTCTCGCACATCATTTTTTCGTCTGTCATCAGACCTTTCGTTTCCATTGCAGCGAGCAGTTGACTATATTTATTTGCGTGTGAGTTTTATTTTCAAACGAGTTTGTTTTTCATTCTCGCTCACGATCACATTTTGCGTCAACTGCGGCTATCTCCACTGGACTCGAAGGGTCTGTCCGTACTCGATATACTCACGATTGGTTCCACTTTCCACGCAGCACAAGTTCATTTCTCTGAGCCGCTAGAGGGCGCGGAAGGGCAGACGCCAGCAAATTTGAAAAGTCGTTTGCCAAAGGACGTCCAAAGCTGTAGCGTCACCGTCTGCTTGCTGATGTAGCCCCATGCCTTCCTCTCACACTTCACCAGCACACTCTGTATTTACCCCGAGAGACGGTACAGAACACACTCTCCTTTTAACTATAGCTGTGCGCTCGGCTGAATGAATGCTGTATATACAGGCACGCATTGCGTGTTGTGCTAGCTTAACTATAACGGATACCCTATACTGCTGATATATAGATATATAGAGAGGGTATAGCCACGGCGGATGCCCGAGGGGGAAATAGTAGCGCATGTTGAAACCCATGTTTGATTTCGTTCGCAACGCGTCTATAGGTGTGTGTGGTGTTTGAGGTTGCGGCGACTTGATGAGGCGATTCGTATTGTTACTGCTAGTGATGTTGGCTGTTATACGCTGCTCGTCCTACCTTATACCTATATGTAGCGCTTCCCGTGTGTAGAATATGCCTATCCCTTTCGTCATGTATCTCTCTCCCTTTGCACTTTCGCTCACACTCCTCTACTATCCCGCAGATGTCTACCTGAAACTGTACCTCGTCACGAAACGCGGCCGCCGCCTGAAGAAAAAGAGTCGTCTGCACCGCAGCTCCGCCGGAGGAGAAGTGCAGCTAGAGGAGGGCTTCCGCTATCAGCTTCCCGCCGCCGTCAGGGAGGCGAAGGTGCAGGTGCTGCTGTGCGCGCATCGCGGGAAGCTGTTTCGCAATCGTCTGCTTGGGGAGGTTCTGCTGACCGTAGACGCGCTCCCGCTCGACGCGCTCGTCTGCGACTGGTACAAGCTGATACGCAAGACGCACCGGGCGTAGGTTGCATGCGGAGATGCCTCCTTGTGCCTGCGGACCCCCCCCCCCTCCGCCTCGGTGCGCGCGTGCGCCGCTCTGGCGCGCGGTGGCTTGGGTGTGTACGTGCGAGTGGGCTTGTGTACGTGTGCGTACCTGCGTGCGTACTTGCGTACGGGCTTGCGTGCGTGCTTGCGTATGTGCGCGTACCTGCGTGCGTACTTGCGTACGCGCGCGCGTGTGTGTGCGTGCGTGCGTGCGTCGGGGCGCGTAAGCGCATCCGTGTGTACGTGCATGCGTGTGTGCATCCATACGTCCGTATGTGCGCGATTAGGCCTTTTGCTTTCTATCTGCTCGGAAAAATACTCGCACATTTCGGTGGTTTCCTCCTCGTCGTCGTCATTGCCATCGTCGTCGTCATGGTCGCCATGGTCGTCGTCGTCGTCGTCGTCGTCGTTGTCATCATCGTCGTCGTCGTCGTCGTCGTCGTAATTTCAGCTCGTCGTTCATCTTCTCTTGCGTCTGGATTCGTCATGCGTGTGCGTGTGCGTGCTGACTCGGGCGTTCGTGCTCACCTGTGCGTGCGTGCTGACCGTGCGTGCGTGCTCGCCGTGCGTGCGTGCGTGTTGGCCCGCGGCGGTCATCCTACTTCGTAACCAATCACTCTCTAATAATGTGGAAGCTGCTGTGACGTCACGTGTGGCTCGACTGTCAGACTTCGCCCTGGGTCCATCTACAACTAATGTTCAATGTGCTTACAGGTGGGGTCTCTTTCCATCTTATATATATATATGTATGTATGTATGTATATATATATTACCCTGGCACTAAATTGCACCGAGCATCGCAAATAAGCGAATATTAGTATATAGAATTCTCTATCGACTATTTATATACTTTACTGACCCTGTTTTTCGTTCGTTCACACACGCTGAAGCACATCTGTCGCTTGTTCTGCGCGCACGACAACTCACTGTGTGTGATTGTGTGTGTGCGCGCGCGTGTGTGCAGTGTGACTTTCATTCATTCACCCCCACGTGCGTGTGTCTAGTGTTTACCTGCAGGGCGATCCGGTGCTAGCCGGACGCGCCGACGTTTTCGCTTTCGTTGAGCTCTTCTCCCATTTTTTCTCTTACACCACTTCTCGCATGGCTGGCTGGCTGGTTGGCTTCTGCTGCCGCCGCCGCTACCGCTGCTGCCGCTGCTGCACACAGGCGTTGCATATGCACACGTGGCGACGGACCTGAGCGCTGCGGCCGTATAAAAATCACACGCGTCTGGATTGTGACACAGGCCGTGACGTCACGACCGCACGCCCAGCACCGCACAGCAACCGCGTCGTCATCACTATCACGTCCAGCACTCGTACGCAGCGCCGCCCCGCGGCGACGGCGTCGCGCGAGGATGCCCCCGAGCGTTCCCTACTCGCTAAAGGTGAGAGCGTGCGGGAGACAACGGAGAAGGGTCGACGCGTAGCGTGCAGAGATGTAGACAGTAGGTGGTGGTGGTGGTGGTAGAGGAGGAGGAGGAGGAGGAGGAGGAGGAGGTGGAGGATGTGGTGGTAGTGGTAGTGGGGGGGAGGGGTGGTGGAGAAGGAGGATGAGATGAGATGGTGATGGAGGGGAAGAAGAAGGCGGAGGAGAATGAGATGGAGGAGGTTGTGGTGGTGAAGGGGGCGGAAGACAGATAGGATAATAATGAGGAGGAGAAGAGGAGGAGGAGTAGGAGAGAGATGCGTAGCAATAGACCTTACACGCTGCCACTGTTTGAAACGCACCCGCTGTCTTCGTCACTGCTACAGTTGTCTGCGCATTGCAGGGGGATCCTTGCCTGACGCCGTGCTGAGGGAGAGAAGGGCCCAGCAGCAGCAGCAGCAGCAGCATCATCAGCAGCAGCAGCAGCCGCTTCAGGGCAGGCTGCAGCGCATCAACACGCCCATAAAGATACGACTCGACGCAGAGAAGCCGAAACCCAATCAGATGCCAGGTCAGCCGCCATGGCCAGCAACCCAGCAACAGCAGCAACAACAGCCACATCAGCTGCAACAGCCGCAACAACAGCAGCAGCAACAACAACACCATCAACAGCCGCAGGAGCAGCAACAACAACAACAACAGCAGCAGCCACAACAACACCATCAACAGCCGCAGCAGCAACAGCAACAGCAACAGCAACAGCAGCAACAACAGCAACAACAGCGTCCCGCGCGACAACAGAAGACGACCGGACCCGGCAAGCGGACCACCCGCCGCACCACCACCACCACCGAAGAGGACGACGACTTCGGATTCCTGAATCCGGATCACCAGATTCGACGTCGCGGGGAAAAGGGATCGAACGTTCCCGTGCGTGTGCCAGCGCACCGCCTCGTGCACGCCGAGTCTCTCAACAGATCCCCGCAGCGCAAGGTGAGAGAGATCGGACAGAGCCTGCTCAAGAGCGCCAGGCAGGACTCGAGAGCGAACAAGTCGGATGCGACGACGACGAAACCGACGACGACGACGACGCCAGAGCGGTCGCCGAAGAAGACGAAGCAGGCGAGCGGGCGCCGCGAGGGAAACAGGAATGCTCCTAGTTCGACCCGCGCGCGCTCAAAGGAAACCGACGGTGGCGCCACCGCGAGCTCGCGGCAGGTCCGGCAGAGCAACCCTGGTGCTCCATCGCGTCACCGCTACCCGGCGGGCGACGACAGCGGCCGCGCGGCGCAGGGTAACACCCGGGTACCGCGCGAGAGATCGCGGACCGCGCGTGCCGCCGACCCAACCGCAGTTCACCAGGGTAACGGCTACCCCGGCGAGAGCCACTCGCTGCCACGACCAGCCAACCCTGTTCCCGGCGACACCCTGCCTCTCTCGGACGAGGAGGGTGTCTTGCAGATGAGCAGCTCGTATAGGAGCGAGGGGGAGGCTGAGCATCAGTATCCGCAGGAGGAGAAAGCGGCGACGATGCCGAGAGTGAAGAAGCCGAAATATAGATGTGTTAAACAGGTGTCAATGAAGCCAAGATCTGGCAGCGACCAGGTACGAAAAGGTAGCTGGCCTCTTCTTTTGCCTCATATTTATCTTACATGAAAGTACTATATATATATATATATCAGGAGTAGATAATAGGGAACTATTATCTAGGAAATAGTTAATATCAGGGGAGTAGGGGAATCAGGAATAGGAATAGGAAAGGAATAGGAATAGGAATAGGAATAGGAATAGGAATAGGAATCAGAGGTGAGTAGGGAAATAATTCCCTATTATCTACTCCTGATATATATATATATATATATATATCGAGAGAACATTGTCTGTCATTGTAATTATTATAATAGTATTGTCTGTTATAACAAAAACAGTTCATTTGTGCTATGTTATATATATATATATATATATATATATATATATATATATATATATATATGCTACCTTAGTGATTACAAAGAGTAGTGTCTACATTATCTATGCGTGTGGGATACGACTACTAATTACAAGACTAATTGACTCATCAGTCGCCAGCATGCCGCAGTGGGAACGTAAAAAAACCTTTTAGCCCAACTCTTCTCATCAAGTTTTTGCTTAATTTTAAATTATAAACGAATCGAAATGTGTTCGCATTAAAAACCAACCATTATTTCTTTACGCAGGTTTCTAACGAGCGTGCCGTCCCCACCGCCGCCGCCGACACCGCCACCGCCGCCGCCGACGACGACGACGACGACGACGACGACGACGACGACGACGAGAGACTGGGGAATTATGACGTCACTCCGCCGACGCAAAAAAACAACAGTCGACGCTCTCTCTCTTCCTCCGACTGCATGTCCGATGATCGCTGCCCGTTAGACGACTCGGCGACGAAATCCGACGAGACGTCATCATTAGAAATTGAAGGTATTATTACATCAGGAGTGAATAATAGAGACTCTATTATTCACTCCTGATTATGTCTTTAATTAGCATCCGCGGGGGGATGAGGATGATGAGGATGATGATGAGAGGATCGTAATGAAGATGTTATTATACTTTATGAAGCTTCTTCTTACGTGATGATGATGATGATGATGATGATGATGATGATGATGATGATGATGATGATGATGATGGATGTCGTTGTAGGCGTGATAAAATTATGCTCGTTTATATCTTCTATATATGGCAACATGTCATTCTAACTAGAGTTTATCGTTATAAACACGTTAGTGATGCAAGTCTTTAGACCCAGCTTGCGCGCAACGAAAATCTGCGATTTTCGAGTTCAGACTACGGCCTACACCTCGTGATATGTCATTTGCGAGCGTGACGTTGCGTTATGTGACTGCTGCGGGATTGGCTAGCTATGGCATATTGAAGGCTCTGCTCTATATTTCTGCGGGATTGGCTATAGCTGCAGCAGAGCGAAGGCATTGCATTGCACTGCGATATATGATATATAGGGAAGTCAGGAGTTAGTTCAGCTCGCTTCTGGCACTGACGGAAGCGGTCTATTTGCATTACAGTAAAAACCCGCGTATAAGAACATAGATTTTTCCAAGTTAGCCTCAACAT